TCGCCGCACTCCCAAGCGCTGCACTCTTCCGAGTGCGCCACCGGGCCAGCCCTGTTCTGGGTGTTTTTACACTTGCGATCTTTTGGCCTTTCCAGCAGCTGCTGCAGAGCACGCTGCTCCCCCCATTTTACAGATGGCCAGGAGAGGAGGCCCGTGGAGGCACTGAGACGACCTGTCAAGTGAGGCACAGCCAGCCCATGCCTCTCCCATTCTGCAGGCCGGCCTTCTGGTTGGTCAGCCCAGACCCTCTAAACTCACAGTCTCTGCACAGCCTGCAGCACATTCACCTGGGGTACTCCTTCAGCCCATCCCACCTCCCCACCCGGATTCAGCACCTCTGCAGGTGCGACCCAGGAGTCTCCATTTAATCCCAACAGTGTCATGGTCATCAAAGTTGAATGTGCTGCTCTAATCCTACCTCACACCCCCAGAGATATTCCTTCTTATCAAGCAGGGAGTTAGTGTTAGCATTGGCACAACAGCTGCTTTCATGGTTTCTCGGAGTTGGGAGGACCCAGAGCTTATCTGGGAGGACCCATGAGCAGTGTGAAGTGTGGTCCACATTCCAGCAACAGCAGCCTCTCCTGGAGTGAGTCAGAAATGTAGGGTCTTAGCTCCACCCAGACCTACTGTACCCAAATCTGCATTTCATCAAGATCGTTTGGCAGTTTATCTGCACAGGGTTTGAGCCCCAGTGATCTGAGACAGCCCTGGAGCATACGTTTGCATCTCTTCTGCAGAATCTCTGGAAGCAGTGGCCGTCCAGCCATCCTCTGACCATCAGCATGCTTCTTTATAGTGAAAAACTAACCAAGATCTAATTCTGCCCACCCCTTGCCCTAGGTCTGTTCTAGCAAGAAATAGTCTACTATATTAACAGCCAGTTTGTGTTGCACCCTTACTAAACTGCTTGAGCTACGTCCTGTTAGTCCCATTTTACAGGTGGGGAAACTGAGGCTCATAAAGGTTGAGGAACTTTCCTAAGGTCCCATACCCACTAAGTGGCAGAGCTGGAACTTTAACTTTAGTTCATCTGATGCCACAGCCTGAATCCCTACCACCACTCTGCTATCATGTGATAGCATTTGTGTCTTTGCTAAACCTCGGTTCTGTCAACCATTCCTTGGGTGATGTGGCTGCCAAGGCCCTTGCTTTCCTCAAGACACTGCCCCAATGGGCAGTGGCCCTTTTGCAAGCTTTGCCAATCTGGGGCCTGACCATCTTCCCCCTGCGCCTTGTCTGCACACTTGTCTCTGATGAGGGCAGGACATGAGATGCATGCCCCTGGCCCCACATCCAGTGTGGACTCCTGTTGAGCCTACAAAGAGGAGTAAATCCATGTGGCTCTTAGAAATGTCAGGGTCTCAGTGAGTTTCAGAGTGACCCAGATGCTATCAGAGCTGCATTTGTTGATCAAACACTGATCCACCGTGCTGTGGAGAAGAGAATGGTCTCCTCTCAAGAGGAAATGGAGGCTCCCAGGGCCCACAGCTAGTGAAAGGGAGCAGGGCTTCAGCCGCTGCCTGCCTGACCCCAGCACAACCCTCTGCTGTCTCTGAGGTTGGCTCTGCCCCTTGCCACACCAGGCTCTCCAGGAAGCCTGAGTGTTCCAGCCTTAGCACTTATGTCTGGGGCCGGGCCCACAGCGGGCACTCAGGATGTGCTGCCGAATTCCAGCCGTAAAGTCAGTCTAGACTTCCAGAACCTAGCCTCTGGCCGACCTCCCCTTAGGGAAGCACACAGAGAAGGTGGGCAGAGACCCCCCGGTACAGGGGTCCCAGGAAGAAGGCAGAAGGATGAGAATGTGAGAATAGTTTGGGGGTGAAATCAAGGAAGCACAGGAGGCCTCCTAGGGAGTTCCAGAGTTCTGACAATTCTTAGTTGCCAGAGCCTGGTGTTAGATACTTTCCATATTCTTTTTTTTTTTTCTTTAAAGATGACTGGTAAGGGGACCTTAACCCTTGAGTTGGTGTTGTCAGCACCACTCTCTCCCAAGTGAGCAAACCAGCCATCCCTATATGGGATCCAAACCCGTTGCCTTGGTGTTATCAGCACTGCACTCTCCCAAGTGAGCCACAGGACAACCCCAATACTTTGCATATGGTTGTCTTGCCTTTGGCATTTGCTGGCCTGACTCCTGACTCTGAGCAACCACTTCTTTTTTTTTTTACCTTTTTTGTCTTTTTTACTGACCGGTAATGGGATCACAACCCTTGGTGTCGTGCCCGTACCGGGGACCAGCAACGGGATCGCAACCGTTGGTGTTGCGCCCGCACCGCACTCAGCCAGTGAGCGGGAACCGGTCTCCACATGGGATCCGAACCCTCGGCGGGAGCGCCGCTGCGCTCCCAAGTGGCGCACTCTCCAGTGCGCCACTGGGCCGGCCCCCAAGCAACCACTTCTGCCGAGGTGACGTGTGTCTCTCCCCAAACAGGTGTGGAGGCAGATGCTGAGTCTGGGGCTCAAGCCAAGCCGGCACATCTACAACTTGCTGTTGGGGGCAGCTCGTGACTGTGGCCTGGGGGACCCGGAGGTGGCCTCAGAGCTGCTCCTGAGGCCCAGGGAAGAGACAGCCCTGCTCCAGCCCCCGGGAGGCAGGCGGCGGGCAAGGGGAAGAGCCCAGGCTGAGGCAGGTGACAGCATGTCAGCTAGGCTGCACGTGGAAGCCCTAGAGAGGCAGCTGCTTCTGGAACCTTCTCAAGTACTTGAGGGGCCTCCAGAGCCTCAAGAGGCCAGATTGACCAGCAAGGCCCAGCCTGAGGTAGAAACCAAGGCAGAGCCTGACCACACAGTGGCCCTCATCCCAGTGGCCCTGAAGCCACCTCCCTTGCAGCTGGAGGTCAATCTCCTGACCCTCAAGACCATCCCCCCAGCTGTGGTCTCCTTAGGGACAGTAACCACCCCCTCCGACAGGCTGGCCTTGATGGGGGGCCTGGAGGGCTTCCTGGCCAAGATGGCGGAGCACGGGCTCCAGCCCGACATCAAAACCCTCACGCTGCTGGCTGAGGTGGTGGAGCCTGGGAGCCCCACGGAAGCCTTGCTGCTGACCCTCCTGGACACGCACCAGGTGGAGGCTGATGTGACATTCTTCAACACACTGATGAGGAAGAAAAGCAAGCTGGGAGACCTGGAGGGGGCAAAGGTAAGGGGCTCAGAGGCAGGCATTTGGCCCTTAGCTGGGGACCCTCCTCCTCTTCCCTTTTCTGCTCCTTGGACTGCACAACCTGACGTCTTTTCCTGCCTTGGGTCCTCATATGCGCCTGAAGCCCCATTCTGGGCCTGACCTGGGGTGAAGTGCTGGGAATCGAGCAGGTAGAAGCTGGACATGTTCTCTGCCCCTCCTGGTGGAGTTCATGGATGGGTGGGAAGGCAGATGACAAACATTTCATTACTTGACATGGGGGACACAAGATGTGCAGGTGCTGCAAGAACATATGGCTGAGGTGTCACTCAGCTGGGCCAAGAGGTTGCCCTCAGGCAGCCTCTAATGGCTCCCAGTGATGCTCCAGTGTCCTCACCTTTTACACCCCATCCCTCGACAGCACACTTACTCTGTGGACGCTCTTCTAAGAGCTTCACTGCATTTTTTTCTTTACTGATCAGACCAGGAGACACTGCTGGTACGTGGCTTTCTCCATTTCACAGATGGGGATGTTGGGTCCCTCATGGGATTTTGTTTATTCATATGACAAGTTTTTTTATGAGATGCCTTTTTTGCCAGAAGTACTGCCCTGGGCACTTGTGGGGGTCAAAGGTGACAGATTGCCTCTGCCTTCAAGCCTTCAGTGCAGAGCACACCTTCCTGTGGACAAGCTAAACATGATAGAGCCCATCCCCAGGACCCTCCCTGACCCAGCCAGGCTGAGCAGGGGACCCTCTACCTCACCCCTGGCCTTCCTCACTCCCGAGGCCAGCACTTCCCACATTGTGGACCACAAGTTCCTGAGGCCACTGGTCTTGAATGGTCGAGTATGGGGATGGCCTGCAGAGGAGCATGTGACAGTGAGTGGAGGACGGGAACAGGAAGGTATTCATGGAGAAGGGACGGCATATTGGAGACAGGCAGGTTGGACGTCAGGGTGCACATGCAGAGTGGTTGAATTCCTAAGAGGTAGGCTAGACAGGACTTAGGGCCTTGAGTGCCAAGCTGAGGCCACTGGCGTGATGCGGTCAACAGAGGGAGCTGTGAGGCCTCCAGCAGAGCTGTGCACCTGGGGCTAGGGCCTCCAGTTTCCAGCCCAGAACTTCACCAGAGAAGGCTCTCACCGGGGCCAGTGGCTTACAGGTTACAGTGACACCATGTCTGTCCTCACAGGCGCTGTTGCCAGTCCTGGCAAAGAGAGGAATCGTCCCTAACCTACACACATTCTGTAACCTGGCCATCGGGTGCCACAGGCCAAAGGATGGTCTGCAGCTACTTGCAGACATGAAGGTGAGGGGACCAGGCCTGGGCAGGACGCCTGTGGTGCTGAGGAGTACTTGGGGGTGCTCAGACAGTTGGGGTGGATGTGGGGTCCCGTCCACTGCCCAGACCTCTGCACCTGGATAGGATAAACTGCATGGAGGCAGGGAGAGGGGGTCACTGGTCCCATCTGGGATAAAGTAGACCCTGGCGAGCTACTGCAAGAATGGATGGAGAGCAAGGGGTGTTCCTATCTTGAAGGTGGCAGTGGGATGAGATTGAGGGGTGGGGTGGGCCTTGGCCCCAACACTCCAAAGGGATAGAGGGATGGAGGGTATGACCGGAGCAGGGGTATATCATAATTCCTGGGGGGGGGGGGGGGG